AATTTGCCGGTGCATTCGATGTAACAAAACGCTAGATTAATTCCAAAATCTTGCGTGGCGCCCAGACGCAGGAGATTCGTGACGTAAACACAATGCGTTATAATAACAATGCGTCGCGCAAGCGATAGTGCCCGCTCAGGCGGGCACTATCGCTTCATAGTGCCTGCTGCGTTATCCAATGAGATTGCAGCGATTTATCACGTCATGCACTAATCTTCATTAATGGTCATTAAATGCGTCGTTAACTGGAACATTTTTCGTTAGTGATCAGTGGAGATGTCGTTAGCTTGAACATTCTTCATTAATGGTCAGTGAACGCGTCGTTAGTTAAAACTTTCTTCGTTAATTGTCAGTGTACACGTCGTTAACTGGAAAAATGTTCGTTAATGATCAGTGGAGATGTCGTAGCTAAAACATTCTTCGTTAATTGTCAGTGAACACCTCATTTGCTAATACAATCCTTGTTAATGGTCAGTGAATATGCCATTAGCTTGAACATTCTTCGTTAATGGTCAGTGAACACGTCGTTAGCTGGAACATTCTTCGTTAATTGTCAGTGACCACGTTGTTAGCTAAAACATTTCTCGTAATGGTTAGTGAACACCTAGTTAACTGGAACATTCCTTGTTAATTGTCAACGAACACATGACTGCCACTGTTAACCTCTTAACACCAAGAAAGTTCCATCGTCAATGTTCGGGAAAGTAACATCTCAAACCAGAACATTCCCTCTCTAATGTTCACAGTTCAGCTTTGATTCTCGCCCTAGCTGCTAAGTGTGGATGCGAATTCTTTGTGTGGATCATTTTGCTCCTGAACAGATCTCCTGAACAGATCTGCTATTATCTGCTCCCGATGTGAAGCGTCTTGCAGCTGCGTGATTCTCAATTCTTGCTGGTTGTTGCAAACTGCTGTCGATTGTTGCCAATTGTTGCTGAGTGTTGCCGATTGTTGCCGCAGGAACCACGAACACGCCTACGTTGTGGGCGGGCACCGGCTCGGGGGCCATCTACATATACACAGTGACAATACCGAATGCAGAGCAGAGGAAGGAGGAGGCTGTATCAGCTCAACTCGGTAACTATAGTAACCGGCAGCTCAACTCTATCCGGCAACTATGTGTACACTTACATGATCAGAATCATTGCTAATCTTCAGCAAATATCAGGGGCTATATATGTGTATATATCATTTATTATATATTATAATGTATATTTTAAAATGTTGATAAAAATTTATTTGATCTAGTACTCTTTCTTAGATTGAACCATGCATGGACACCCGCATGCACACGCACACGCGCGCACGCACGCACGCACACACACACACACACACACACCAACCACGCACAACACAACCCCCTTCCACACACACACCTCACATCTGACTTTACCTTGTGACCAGGCAAGGAGATTCAGCTCAAGCACAAGGCAGCAGTGATGGCGATCCAGGTCATCGACTCTGCCAACTACCCGCTACCCGACACTGCAGCCGCCAGCAAGAACATCGCAAAGGAACCCAACATGGACGGCAACCACAAGGTCATCATCTGCTCCATGGAGCAGTTCAAGGTCAGTGCGAGGTCGGGCGAAGATCGCAGAGTTTCGGCGGTCAGTTTAGGGAGGTGGCGAGGGTTTGTCCGGAAGTTTTTCTATGTTGAAATTTTATTTTGAGATGAATTTGATAGTAATGCAGTAGTTTCGATGACCGGTTTATTGTCGAGCTGTACTTTTCGTTGCTGAGATACATTGCCATGATAGTAACGCAGCAGTTTCGATGACCGGTTTATTGTCAAGCTGTACTTTTCGTTGCTTAAACAGGTGGTGACAGTATAGGTTAAAACGATAAACGATAGTCGACATTGTAAAACCTCAAGCTCTCATGTAATGCCTTTAATGTTAGTGTAGATTTTTGGTTACACCATATGAATATATAATGATAATCATATAATATAAAATAATCGAACATAATGAAATATAATATGATATAATATGATATATAATGATTCGAAATAAATAGTGAGCAGTGATGTGAATGCTCATTGTGTGTTGTTCAGGTGTTCCATTTGCCCAGCCTGAAGCCATATTGCAAGTACAAGCTGGTGTCGCACCACAGCTCCCTCGTCAGACGCATCGGCTTCGTCAAATACACAAGCAGCAAAAGTAAGTGTGCTGGTGCATGTGTGTGTGTGTGTGTGTGTGTGTGTGTGTGCGTGCGTGCGTGCGCGCGTGCGTGCGTGCGTGCGCGCGTGCGTGCGTGCGTGCGTGTGTGTGAGAGAGAGGTGCACGTGTGCGCGTCGAGAAAGCGAGCATGAATTGGCAGGGCTTCTAACGTTTTTCACAATAGTTGCTCGAGGCAGTGGCTGTGGCTGTGCTCCTATGCAATGAATAACTGCCGCTAAGAAAACGGCTGTGGTGATTTAGCGTACGTGCTAGCGTGCGTATACGTGCGTGCGTACGTGCGTGCGACAGTATGCTAGCGTGCGTACGTGCGTGCGACAGTATGCAGCCTAGCGTACGCGCGTGCGTGCGACAGTATGCTAGCGTACGCGCGTGCGTGCGACAGTATGCAGCCTAGCGTACGTGCGTGCGACAGTATGCAGCCTAGCGTACGCGCGTGCGTGCGACAGTATGCTAGCGTACGCGCGTGCGTGCGACAGTATGCAGCCTAGCGTACGCGCGTGCGTGCGACAGTATGCTAGCGTACGCGCGTGCGTGCGACAGTATGCAGCCTAGCATGCGTACGTGCGTGCGACAGTATGCTAGCGTACGTACGTGCGTGGTACAGTATGCTAGCGTGCGTACGTTCGTGCGTACGTGCGTGGTACAGTATGCTAGCGTGCGTACGTGCGTGCGACAGTATGCTAGCGTGCGTACGTGCGTGCGACAGTATGCTAGCGTGCGTTCGTGCGTGCGACAGTATTCTAGCGTGCGTACGTGCGTGTGACAGTATTCTAGCGTGCGTACGTGCGTGGTACAGTATGCTAGCGTGCGTACGTGCGTGGTACAGTATGCTAGCGTGCGTACGTGCGTGCGACAGTATGCAGCCTAGCGTGCGTACGCGCGTGCGACAGTATGCTAGCGTGCGTACGTGCGTGCGACAGTATTCTAGCGTGCGTACGCGCGTGCGACAGTATGCAGCCTAGCGTGCGTACGTGCGTGCGACAGTATGCTAGCGTGCGTACGTGCGTGCGACAGTATGCTAGCGTGCGTACGTGCGTGCGACAGTATTCTAGCGTGCGTACGCGCGTGCGACAGTATGCAGCCTAGCGTGCGTACGCTCGTGCGACAGTATGCAGCCTAGCGTGCGTACGCGCGTGCGACAGTATGCAGCCTAGCGTGCGTACGCGCGTGCGACAGTATGCAGCCTAGCGTGCGTACGCGCGTGCGACACTCACAGTATGCTTAGGTTTAAGTCTACTTGTAGCTCCTTTGCTGGTCTGTTTTGTTGTGAAAATGTTTTTACATTTTCCAATTTATTAGGGTTTGTGCCAGTGTTGTTTGTAAATCGTAGTGCATTTAGTTGAGTGTTTGGATGGAGGTTTGTACTATATAAGTATACATATATATATATATATACATACATATATATACGCGTAATATGTATCCGTAGTGGTGGTAGTGTTAAGCACACACGTGTATAATTCACTGTGTGAAGGAAGAGGACCGTTTCCGTTTGGTGCAGACTGTGTTATTAGATGAAACCAGCGATCAGTATAAGGTCCTAGACTATGCCAGCACCATAGATACATCCATAGAGACATATATATGTAAGCAAAATACATCAGCAGTATGAATGTTCTTTATAGAGGTCAGTGCGGTACACGAGTATTGTGTGATTTTGTGCAGCGGAGGAGGGAGAGCCGGCGAAGGAGGCAACAGCCGGGGAGGGCGGGGAGCAGAAGGAACAGCCGCCCCTGGCTGAGTCCGAGAAGGAAGGCAAGAGGCGTACATAACGATAATGCAGCGTCGCGAGCTTTTCACTTCACGACTAAACCACTTGTTACAGCTTTTCGTTTTTTCACTGGATTCACGCTTACGTTCAACACTGCACCATCTGCGTCCCAGCAGGTGGCGCTGTTGTCGCGCACCGATGCCGGGGCGTAGGTGGCGCCACGATCGGCATCCATATCTATCAGCGCAAGCATGTGGCATGAACGATGTGTGAATCGAATAATTTTAATAAAAGTGTAGCATGGCTTAGTTGATCGATGTCTCTCTGTTAGTGGGCGGCCGGCAGCAGTCGCTCGGCTTTCTCTGAGTTAACGTTTTGCTATTATCTGATTAGCGCCCCCTGGTCACACCGTCTAGCATTATTCGTTCTGTCTCTCTCTGCGTGTGTGTTCCGTGTGCCTTCACTGTGTGCTGTGCCGCGTCTGTCGAGCATTCGCTCGGGGCGTGCTGCTGGCGTTTGCATCGCCATCTTCGACTATATTTTTTGCTGTGTGTTTGGCGTGTAGTGCTGCTGAATGATAGCGCTGCTAGTGAGAGAGAGATATGCGTATGTTGTTATCGTTTGCTGTTCAGTATGCGGCCAGCAAGATTTGCGTTTTGAAGTTTTTACGTTTGCAGCAGTGCCCTCTGTCGCGCAGAGCAGACACTAACAGCATTGAATGCAGCGCAGACACTAACAGCGTTGAATGCAGCGCAGAGCTGGTTATGTGACGTGATAGTTACTTATAAGAGACGCGAATTGTAGTAAAACCTTTTTTTGTAAACTCAAATAACACGATAGGAAGTGTGGAAAAGTAGGCGAGAGGTGCTGCATTTCACTATCATCCATGTGGAATTGCCCATCAGCTCTAGTTTAACTGAATTCCTACGTCTGTCTCTATATTTTTTTGACCAAAGTAAAGTTGATAATCATCTAATCAGATACCATATATATATATACCATATATCGTAGCATATATTTTACATTATAATCAACATCACATATGTATCGATCGAATAACGTCTTCTTGTAATCTTATACGCAGATGTTTATATATTACACAATCCCTCATAATGGCCCCTCGTGTCTCACTCGCTGACGTAATGATCAGCTAACTCTTCGAGGCTGTCTCGCAACATGTCTCAATGTCTCCGCATTGGCCTCATGTTTCAGATGAAGAGTACAGCGAGTGGTGTCTCACCTGCATGTCTCAGCTGGGAGAGTTGAGCATCTATAGCATCCCTCAGCTGCGCAAGCAGATACTGAAGCCCTGCACGAGCAAGGATGACATCCAGTGAGTGTGCTGCTGATGCTGCGTCGGTGGGGGAGGATGCGTGGGTGGGTGGGGTGGGGTGGGGTGGGATGGGGTTGGTTGGGTGGGGTGGGAGGTTGGGTGGGGTGGGAGGTTGGGGTAGTGCGTGCATGAGCAAGGACGACATCCAGTGAGTGTGCTGCTGATGCTGCGATGGTGCATGGGTGGGGTGGGGGAGGGGGGCAGTGCGTGCAAGCGGTCATGCAGGGAAGTGGAGTGATGAGAACGTGAAAAGTTGAGCTGTAGAATGATTTGTAATAATATCAGTTAGTTAGTAAATTATTTCATTATTTTTCATTATTTAATAAATTAGTTACATAAGTTACATATTAAATTACATAAATTAATTCATTAATTCATTAATTAATTCATTAATCAATCTATTCCCTCACTCCGTGTTATTTCAGCGGCATCGGCTCGACTGTCTTCACACAGGACGGCGAGGGCATGTACCTGAGCTCCGCGAGCGAGTTCGTCCGCTTCTCGCTCTGCCCACACATGGTCACTGACGCCACCTGTGTGCTAGAGCTCGCTGAGGGCATGCGACCGCCGCCGCCGCAGCCCAAGCCCGAGGTCACCGTGGAGACGGAGGAAGCCGCGAAGGTCAAGGGCAAGGTCGAGGCAGCCGAAGCGTGAGTGTAGCTGATGGTGTTTGTAGTCTGGGGAGCTAGTATAGGTAGGCAGTGGGGGGGGGGGGAATCTAGGCGGGATATTGAGAAGGGTAGCTAGTAGGTGTTAAATTGATTACGTCACGAATTTTCTATGGTAAAATTTGTGAAATTTTTGTTGAAAAATTTAAAAATACTAAATTTTTTTAAATACTAAACATATCGTCAAATTCTTAATTTCTTACCTGATAAGATTGTTTCTCAACTAGTTAAAAATCCAAAAAAACCTGGACGATTTGATATTAGTGTTTCTGACATTAATTGCTTGCTATGGGCTATGTATGCGTCACGAGTGTATGTTCACATCGAACAATATAGTAAAATAAGAAGTATAATGCAGCAATTTAACCATAAAAAGTGAACAGAATTACTTATATTTTGTGAAAAAGTGGAAATTTATTTTTTATTTTTTACTATTTACGGTGACGTAATCACTAGCAAGAGCTGGTGTGTGAATCATTCATGTATGCAGTAGTAAGTGCAGTGGAAACATGAGTAGCCAGTGATTAGGTAGCGGGAGGAGAATTTAAGAGGGATATTAAGAAGGGTAGCTAGTAAGGTGTTAAAGCAAGAGCTGGTGTGTGTGTGAATCATTCACGCGGTAGTAAGAGCTGTGGAAGCATGAGTATAGCTAGTGCTTGTGTGATTCCTGGAGGGATGCTGATATGAGAAGGGGAGTTAACAGGGCAATTTGAGGGCTTGAACCAAGATGGTCAACCAGTGATCAAAGAACGTGAAATCATCACATGCTAGATTAACAAACATGTGCTAAACAAAGATGAAGAAACAAGCGTTCTTACTTTGTTAGCAGAAAAACCACAGGCTTCTCTGTCGTATTAATAACATATAATCTGGAATATTTGTTACGCTAAGACATTTTTAGAATTTTTAGACCGAGCGTTTACGTGCGCGTACGTGCGTCGGTCACGTGTGTGGGTGGGTGTATGCGTGCGCGTATCCAATTTCGAATACAAACCGCGAAAATAAATTACCAAGTAGTACGGACCGTTTACTATTGCGGCAGAAATTGAGAGAGTGCAAAGAAAAACAGCATGTAAAACAACGTTTGCTGATAGGCTCTCTTCACCTTGCGCATGTATCCGGCAGATATAACGCATTCTCAATCGGAAAAGGTCGGAAATTGTCTCTAAAGACGAGCAACAAAGAACTGTTTATTAACTGTTTCTTATGATTATGGATTGTTTGCTATTTAAATAAGAGAGACGCTATCAATAGCTGAGAACTTGATCCAAGGGATTTTTTTGACACTGGTTGGCAGTGCGTGTGTGCGTATCGTAGATATTATTGTCTTTTTAGCTAAACCTTTAATGTAAATATCTGTTCCCCGACGCGAGAAGGGAAAATAACGACGGCTTTCTTCCTCAGGCCTGCCGCCGAAGAGAAGAAAGAGGAAGCGAAGGAGGAAGAGGGGAAGGCCGAGCCGGAGAAGGAGGGAGAGGCCGAGGAGAAGACGGAGGAAGGGGAGAAGCCCGTCGATGAGTCGACTCCCGGAGAGATGACGGGAGACATCACGCAGGATAGCATCACCGACCACATAGCGTACGTCCTCCTCACATCCTCTCCGCCTCTCCCTCCTGCTCCCCACCTCCTCACCTCCCTTCCTCCCCTCCCTCCTGCTCTCCACCTCCTCACCTTCCCTCCGCCTCTCCCTCCTGCTCCCCACCTCCTCACCTCCCTTCCTCCCCTCCCTCCTGCTCCCCACCTCATTCTTCACCTCCCCTCCGCCTCTCCCTCCTGCTCCCCACCTCCTCATTCTTCCCCTCCCCTTCGCCTATCCCTCCTGCTCCCCACTTCTTCACCTCCCCTCCGCCTCTCCCTCCTGATCCCCACCTCCTCACCTCCCCTTCCCCTCCTGCTCCTGATCCCCACCTCCTCACCTCCCCTTCCCCTCCTGCTCCTGCTCCCCACCTCCTCACCTCCCCTTCCCCTCCTGCTCCTGCTCTTCACCTCTTCACCTCCCCTCTGCCTCTCCCTCCTGCTCCCCACCTCCTCACTCTTCACCTCCCCTCTACCTCTCCCTCCTGCTCCCCACCTCCTCACTCTTCACCTCCCCTCTGCCTCTCCCTCCTGCTCCCCACCTCCTCACTCTTCACCTCCCCTCTCCATGCTGCTCCCGTCTCACCACCCGGGAATATTCCTTGGGAAAGGGTGGGGGTGGTGGCCCAAAATCATCAAGGGAATGAGATTTTTTGAAATTTCTTTTTTGAAGTTGTTGATTTTTTGCTTTTTTGAGAAATAAAGCATGTGCCGGATAGGATTATGCTAAAGGGATGTTTTGTTCTGATGTTTGTTACATTTAGTTGATATTTATTTACCTTCGTAAAGAAAAAATTAAAGGAAATAATAAAAAATATAGAATGCACCTTAGGCACCTGAAAGTGGCTCGGAGATTTCAAGCTGTTCGCTTGTTTGTAGGGACGAGGAGAAGGCTACCGAGGACAAGGCTAAGGAGATTGAGTCAACAGCTGTCGAGGTGAAGAAGATCGAAGATGGCGGCGCGAACGAGGCGCCCCCTGTGACTGCCGGTGGCGGTAAGTTGAAATAAATCGCTCGGGGTATGTGGGTTGAGAGATGTGTTGGGTTTGGGGTGGTTAGTTAGTTAGTTAGGAGGGTTTGCGCATTGCCCTTCCTGCCTATCATGGTGTCCTGGCAACTTCCTGGTTAATCATCCTTCTTCTTTCTTGGTTCTGGTTTCTCTCATTCTTTCTTCTTTTTTTATCTTTATTGCTCTCTTCGTCACGCCTCTCCTCTTCCCTAT